TAGTTACCACTAATCTTTTTATTAATCACAGGTGAATTTACAAAGTCATCACACCGTGACATCATGCGGCCCGTTCTGGTTCAGTGAACAGCTTGACCTTATCTTCAATGACCGCTATGAGTTTTTTGTTGAGAAGGCGGTCAAAATGTTCTAAGATTGAGGCGTGATGCAGTTTGGGGTGTACCAGAGATTCTGTAGGGACCACAGCTAGGATCCCGGCAAACTCATGAACAAACTGACACCTGTAATAATAAATAATAATGATGTACTTATATTAATATAAATTAGTAGTACTACAATAAAAGAAACAGTAGTGATTAACCCAATTGGGGAATTACAATCTAAGCACCAATATTGATACTGTTGTCAATTGTTTAAAACATCAACTAGTTCAGTTCAAGTTTGATTCTGTCCTTGTAAAAAAGACAGACAGACAGTTAGACAGAAGACTGACCATAGATTTTCCAGCTGGTTGTCGATGTCCAGAGGTGATGTGTTGGCGTGGAGAACCTCCCCCCTGTGTAACAGACTACAAACCAGGGAACCCCCAAATGTAAAACAAACATATAACAAGGTTGGTTAGTCAACAGGACACTTAACATACTGAACTGTTTGAACAGGCATAAATTTTAAGGTGAGACTGTAGTACGAAGTCCTCATTTATAAACAATTTCACCGTTGAGTTTTTATCAATACATTACTGAATGTTGTGCCAGATTATTTTGTGTACATGAAGATTTCTATAAAATTACTGTGTACAGAATATACATGACCTTTGTGTACTGACTATATAAGCCCTTTTGTGTACGGACTATATATGACCTTTGTGTACGGACTATATATGACCTTTGTGTACTGACTATACATGACCTTTGTGTACTGACTTTACATGACCTTTGTGTACTGACTATTTTGACCTCTGTGTATGACTATACATGACCTTTGTGTATGACTATACATGACCTTTGTGTACTGACTATATATGACCTTTGTGTACAGACTATATATGCCCTTTGTGTACTGACAATATATGACCTTTGTGTAGGGACTATATATATGACCTTTGTGATGGACTATATATATGACCTTTGTGTATGACTATATATGACCTTTGTGTACTGACTATGCATGACCTTTGTGTACTGACTATACATGACCTTTGTGTACTGACTATATATGACCTTTGTGTATGGACTATATACGACCTTTGTGTACTGACTATACATGACCTTTGTGTACTGACTATTTTGACCTTTGTGTACTGACTATATATGACCTTTGTGTATGGACTATATATATGACCTTTGTGTACTGACTATATATGACCTTTGTGTACTGACTATGCATGACCTTTGTGACTGACATACATGACCTTTGTGTACTGACTATATATGACCTTTGTGTATGACTATATACGACCTTTGTGTACTGACTATATATGACCTTTGTGTACTGACTATATATGACCTTTGTGTACTGACTATATATGACCTTTGTGTACTGACTTTATATGACCTTTGTGTACTGACTTTATATGACCTTTGTGTACTGCCTTTATATGACCTTTGTGTACTGACTTTATATGACCTCTGTGTACGTCACTGTAACAGATATTGTTCTGTACATCAACCACTATCAATTAAACAACACTTGATAGAAATATCATTGAGTTTAGCAACTGAAATGTTTAATGCCATAAATTACTGCATTAATAATAGTTGACACTGCATTTAATAGTTATTCTCAACTGCTAATGATAAATTGCCACTTAATGCTAGATTTATATCTTTAAGCATCACAAATGCATAGTAACATTCTATCATTTGTGGATCCTCATAAAGAATAGGATTTATCTTTGACCGATTTTTTTGTACAAACCTTGTTTTGAATGGCCACTGCAGCTGTCTTTGACTGGTTTTGCCCCGATTCTTTTAGCTCTGTGGCAAAGTTGACGAGGTTTTGGAGATCACAGTTGTCAATCACTCGGATAACAGAATCATGTAGACACATCAGGCCCTGTTTGTGATTAAAGAATTACTTGAAATTCTCGAAGTGAAAAATTATAAGAAATTGGCATACATTGCTGAATAAGAGTTTCCTTTACTTTAAAAATCCTTAATTCAAATTGATGGTTCAATTTCAAATTTTGATTCTGTCTTTTTCTACAATGTATGTTTACTTAAATCAAAGTTAACAAAGCATTTATAAGATTTTCACAAATCTTTTAGCTTATCTCTGATGGTAATAAATCAAATTTACCTAGCTTCATCTGGTAAAGCTTAAATTTTCTTCTCTATGTCGTCCACATCTAACAGTAAATTATAGCCCTGACAAAAGGAAAGAATAAGTTGAGTTTGGGAGAAAAGATACAGAAGAATCATAAGAAATTCAATTTCATGGTGGTATAATATTCTCTGAATTTATAATTAGTCTTCTACAAAATATTCTCCATGAATTAATTTACAAGGATTTTAAGTCTATTTCCTTTTTGAAATATGTTTGAATACATTTGTTCATGAAATGATTCCCGTAAACCCTGTAAAATTTGTACAACCTACAAAAATTGTCCCCCATGAATTCTGATGATTCCACGGTAATCAATTGTAGAAAACGATTTGATTTTCTAATGTGTTTTTAATTTTTCCAGTGAACATTGTCACTATATTCTAATGCATGTGAAAAAAAATTGACATTATAAAAATTCAGAGTTAAATCGTTATCTTTCAGACACAAATAACTACCCCTCCATATGGACATAACATACATTTTCTATTTCCATCAGTAACTGTCGACTTCGTCTGAGTTCTTTGGAGACGTTTTTTGGTTCGCCATACTCGGTGTGGTGTTTGCCTTCACTTGTGACATCAATGATCTGCCTGGAATTGTGAACACTGGAGGTGGTAAGTCTACCCAACGACCCCTCAAACTGAGCTGTAAACGTAAACATCTACATGTAAATACTTTGCGATCATCTTAAATACTGTTTGCTCCTTCAAGCTAAGAAAATGAAAAAAAAGTTGTGTTTGTGAAACACTAAACCCCTTGGCAACAAAGTTAGAAAAAGATGTTTTTAGCCTACAGGTCACCTTGATTAAGTTTTATAGAACTTTATTAGTGGAGTATGCATACTAAATATGAAATCTCTATCTCTTAAGGTTAACAAATTATGGTAAAGGTTCAAACTATATTTAGCATAAACACGTAGGTCACAGTCAAGGTCTCAAAGTCATCATTGAACTTGTTGCCATTTGAAAGAACTTAATAAGTGGAGTGTCATAGACAAACAGTCAGACAGGACAAAATTAATATGCACCCAGATCTATCGATCCGGAGGCATGAAAAATCCTTAAATGCACACCATGCCCATGCAAAAATTATCAAATAGGAAATAAAAGCTTTATTTGAAACAACTAAGGTTCTGAATCATTAATTCTTTCAACATAAATAGGTAAACTCCTGATGATATCAAGAGTCTGCCCCATGTTTCAGTGTACCTGGACTGTACGGCTTTGTCTCTATTACCTGGTCTGTATGGCTTTGTCTCTACTACCTGGTCTGTATGGCTTTGTCTCTATTATCTGGTCTGTATGGCTTGGTCTCTATTACCTGGTCTGTATGGCTTTGTCTCTATTATCTGGTCTGTATGGCTTGGTCTCTAGTTTGGCCATGGCTGGGATGATAAGGTTTAATTACCTGGTCTGTATGGCTTTGTCTCTAGTTTGGCCATGGCTGGGATAATGAGGTTTAATTACCTGGTCTGTATGGCTTTGTCTCTAGTTTGGCCATGGCTGGGATGATAAGGTTTAATTACCTGGTCTGTATTGCTTGGTCTCTAGTTACCTGGTCTGTATGGCTTTGTCTCTATTACCTGGTCTGTATGGCTTGGTCTCTAGTTACCTGGTCTGTATGACTTTGTTTCTAGTTACCTGGTCTGTATGGCTTTGTCTCTAGTTACCTGGTCTGTATGACTTTGTTTCTAGTTACCTGGTCTGTATGGCTTTGTCTCTAGTTACCTGGTCTGTATGGCTTGGTCTCTAGTTACCTGGTCTGTATGGCTTTGTGTCTAGTTACCTGGTCTGTATGACTTTGTCTCTAGTTACCTGGTCTGTATGGCTTTGTCTCTAGTTACCTGGTCTGTATGGCTTTGTCTCTATTACCTGGTCTGTATGGCTTGGTCTCTAGTTACCTGGTCTGTATGGCTTTGTGTCTAGTTACCTAGTCTGTATGGCTTTGTCTCTAGTTACCTGGTCTGTATGACTTTGTTTCTAGTTACCTGGTCTGTATGGCTTTGTCTCTAGTTACCTGGTCTGTATGGCTTGGTCTCTAGTTACCTGGTCTGTATGGCTTGGTCTCTAGTTACCTGGTCTGTATGGCTTTGTTTCTAGTTACCTGGTCTGTATGGCTTTGTCTCTAGTTACCTGGTCTGTATGGCTTGGTCTCTAGTTACCTGGTCTGTATGGCTTGGTCTCTAGTTACCTGGTCTGTATGGCTTGGTCTCTAGTTACCTGGTCTGTATGACTTTGTTTCTAGTTACCTGGTCTGTATGGCTTGGTCTCTAGTTTGGTCATGGCTGGGATGATGAGGTTTATTTCCTTATCTTTGTCGTCCATCACTCCATTCTGTTGTCTCTTAAGCCGCTCCTCTGCTTTCTTCTTCAGGGAATAAGTCTACAACAAAAAGGATGCCATTACATCAGACACTTTATTATACAACAGGTTGATAATCATATCACATTAAATTTTGAGTAAACCAAATACATGTATATTAAACACAACTTCATTGACACATAAGTTTTGTGGCATGATAAACAAAATGTCAGAATTCACAATGACACAGATTACAGAGGTGTTTTGTCAGACAGTTTGTACTGTAATTTATTCATTAGTATTAGTATAAGATAATTTTTACCTTAATTTATTTAATATGATATTTACCGTGTAGTAGAAGTCATCCAGATATGGATTTTCTGTTTGGAGTTGGATCAGCTGGATTTTGATAATCCAGTCTTTTTCTTTTTGAGTCATCAATCCAGCGTAAGCATCCACCGATCTCTTCCTGTCTTCCTCCGGATTGTAGTGGTAGTACCTACGGCGATCGTGTTCCCGCCGGTTGTCGTGGTAATCTCGGCGGTGTTCACGGTTGTCAGGGTGATGACCTTGATCAAACCTGGCGGGGTCATGACCTTCTGAATAACCCTCTCTATGGTCAGTACTGCTGTAGTTTCCGCGGTTAAAAGATTTCAAAATGCACAATGATCTTTTTTGAAAAAAAGAAATTAAATATTGAACCTTTTTTTCACATTAACACTGTACTTACTGTCCTCTGAAGAATCCCCTCCCTCGACCTCTTCTGGGATCTGAATGACCCAATGGATGTGGTGGTCTACAAACCATCAATATTCATAAAGTTATAAGTAAACGCATTTAAATATATTGTGAATCTGTGTATTTTGACACAGGATTGTTAATTGTTTACATGTTCAGTGTTTATTTATAAGACTGTGTTGTTTTCTTCAAAGAACGAGTGCACCTATGGGCCCCGGTAAAATGTGAAAAAATAAACATTCAAATTCAGCAAAATTTTTCATCCCGAATCATTAATTGATCTCTAAACCGTAAGATTCAACAAATTTTACCGCTGAAATGCACGAATATACAAAGAACAAAACCATAGAATGTAGCAGGGGTCAGCCGACATTAGTGATTTTCTATGGTAAATCGAAAACGGTCATTCATTTCAAAGCTTTTGTTTACTATGAGCCTAACTTTGTACATACTTGTGCGAATAACAAAAGACGCATAATACATTTATAAAACTTGTGTGAAATTAGGAAATTTGTACACGATTAGGCTTGTAGTTAAGATATTAAAAATGTACAAAAAGTACAATGTTTTTCCTATAGCAAGTGAGAGGTATTTACCTGTATGACCCATGTGAAACCCACGTGTGGAATAAATTATTCAAAATACTTATAGTCACGTGAGTTCTACCCAGGTAAACATACCTCAAAGGTGCTCACTGTAAAACATCGGCAGGTTTTTTATAACATTTAGTCAAAGTTTCGCCGCTTAGAAATAGTTGTATGAATTTATATTTAAGATTACGGTAGGGTAAAGAGAGTTTAGCGCCATTCATAAAAGTGTCAGACAATATTAACATTTATGCAAGACAATGAAAAGCAACCTTTTAGATTTCAAATTCAATGAAACCTTTATTGTGTATATTTTTTCAAATGCAAGAGTACCAATTTCTTAGTTTGAGTATTATGGCTACAGGCAACTACACAACTTCTTTCATTTTTTTAAGCACAAAAAAAGTTACATTCCACAAGCGCGCGTGACTATGATCCACCTTCAGATTGTTCAATTGTCGATTTAAATACCTATTCGCCTTGATTTACATAAACGAAACTAAAAGAAGGTTCGGACGACTTTTCCGGATTTTTAGGGTGTCCATATGCATTTAAAAATATTCAATTGTTTCAAATCCATGCTGATTTAGGTGATGCTTAGCATGCTTTTTAATTAGAAATATCCACTGATATCTAACTATTTCCAAAAGAGAACGATTTGGTAATATATTCTAAAGTACATTGTAAAATGGACATAAAAAGGGCCCATTAAACATTGCTTAAGTGCACTTGTCCTTTGAATATTCATTTATTAAATAGGTAACATCAACTAATTCCTTTGATTATATTCTGTGCATTTTTACATTGGCATATTTAACATGATCTTTAAATAATTGTTTTATATAGTACTTAGACAAGCAAAGATGTAGAAAGTACAATTAATAGATTTCTTAAACTTATCCTCAAACAGACAAGTTCCCTAGAAAAGTTATTAAAAGAATGATACAAAAATTTTAGCTTACCTTGGGCCGCCCGGGCTGTTGTGAGGGGGAGGGTAGGACCCTGTGTGGGGCGGGCCGTATGGACTGCCAGGGTGGGGACCAAAGTGACCGCCGTGTGGACTTTGGCGTGGACCCGGACTGCTGTATGGACTCTGTGGAGGAGGGCCCCTCAGTAGCTGGCGGGGAATACCAATGGGGGCACTAGGCATACGACTCCCTATATAACAAAAGATGAACTGATTGTTGATACTAAGAATGGATTATTAGATAATTAGATTAATTATATATATCTGATAAAAGATGAATTGACTTAAATGATTCACAATATATTTTATCTTAAAAAATATTTTCTTCGTTTTAATATATTTTTTTGATCAAAATTTTCAGAATACCATTAAAATTTTTTTTTTAAATCATGAATGCACTTTCTTTCTTTTCTTTTTGGTGTCAAAACTGTATTTTAAATCTTTGGAAGTCAGTAAAGTAAGGGTCATGCTAAACCTTGTTGCAACATGTTAAGTTTGAGATTAAATAGGATTTCAACATGCTCTGCAAGATATCCAGCTCAATAAATTAAAATTAGCATTTTTCAAGCAAACTATTTTTAAAGTCAATAAATATACATGCAAAGTTAAAAAATCAAAGTAGAAGATATCGAAGTAAAAGACGAATAACCCAATGAAATCTGGAAGAGTAGGAATTTATGGTTATATTCAAAACCAGAGAAAGCCACAACTTTGAAACCTTGAAACAATTGTTTTCATTCAGGATGAATGTAGTATCAATTTTTCATTACACTTTTCTCAAGAGTTGTCATTTGAATGTTATTTCAGAAACAGATTTAAAGGGACATAGACACAGTTTCAGCTAAAAAAAAATTAAAATTTATTTTTCTATTTCCAAACATTTACAAATATTTACCGAGATATTTCTAATGATCATCAAAAATTTGAATTTCAGTTGTTGAGATACAAGACAGATTTAAAGCCCCATACATTTGTTATGTAAACAGGGTCCATACCATTTTTTAGTTTACACTAAAATACGTTCATTCAAAGCAGATTTTTTTTATATATAGAAATTAATTATAAACACGATGAGCGATTTGCTGAATCTTGTTTTGTTATAAACATGATATTTTCTATGTGAAAACAAAGTTAGGGCACAAGTCATGTTTACATTATGATGAATTCTAAGTTTTGTATCTGCTTTGTAAATAAACAAAAGATGTTCAAATGTTTGCTGATCATTTGATCATTAGAATTGCTTTGTTTATGAATTGTAAAATTAAAATTGGTTTTAAAATAATCAGCTGAAACCGTGTCCAGGTCCTTTCAAGTTTTGGTTAAACATAATAATCATACAAAAATTAAGGGAAAATGGAATTGTAAACAACATGGTAACTGCTGAATCATTTTACAATTCAAATGTAAAATATTATGTCAAATAGCATGCAGAACTATCCCTCTCAAGTTTCTCCAAAACATTTTGAACTCCTACCCATAATGCTTTGCAGTGCCCCACGGGCATAGGCAGACAACAATGAGACCTGTGGGGTGTCAGGTGGGGGTGAGGGTGACCCCTTCAAAATAACCGAGAGTGGGGAAATCCTACCTGAGGATGCTGAAATACATGACCAATACTAATCATTTATATTGCAATCTGTAAATTTGTAGTTCAAGCACAAGTATTCTCCATTCCTGAATTAAAATACAACTAGGTTAAATAAATTACCACAAGGCATAGTCTATCCATGCAAACCTGACGCAGACAAAGGAGAAAGCCTATGCAACATGACAGGAGTGGACCTATGATTCTGGGGGGTCGTAGGGGCAGTCTGAAGAGGGGACCGCCTACCGTTGAGCAGGTGAGGTGGGATGGGGTCTGGAGGTGTGGCTACATGAGGACCGTCCCCAACCCTCGGTGGAAAGGGCCCCTGTCCCATCGGTGAACGCCTGCCATCCATCATTGGAAGATATGGACTATACCCTGGTGGTATGCGCTGTAAAACAAGATGTTGTCTATAAATTGCGTGATATATATACAGTAAAACACACTTATTTATGGTACAACATACCAGTACTTGTATATCAAAAGCTAATGTTCTAGCAAAAGTTTTTTCAAGCAATTTTTTGAAAGAATTTTGTCTGATATTTTCATCATTTTGCACCTTAACAGTTAAATGAGTTCTAATCCAATCAGTTTAGTTTATCTCCTCTCCCTATAAACCTGAGGGGTCTGGTTTCTGGGGCCTGGTGATCCTGGCAGGAACCCAGGAGGTGGGTGTTGGAGTCTGGGGTCAGATGGAGGGGGGACTTTCTGATCCTCCCCACGAAGCCGTCGCTCCAAATCCTCTGCGGTCAATGCGTGTCCTTTTGACCCTAGGAGTAATTGCTGCTCAAGCTTTTCCAATGATCTTCCTGGGGTAGACACTACTGGGGCACGCTAAGGGGGAAAAATACATGGTATATTCATCAATTGGAAACATACTAATAAAAAAAATATTCTACAATACAGAATACATTTATAGCTTCTCTAGTCCAGTCACATGGTAGATACCTCTTTAAACACATTAAATCAACCCATATAATGAAATCTTTTAATAAAGCCTCATAAAAATAAAAATACATAATAGAAAAAAATCAACACACAAAGAGGTCTGGACTAGGCAATGTATTTTTCAGTTCATACGGTTTATTTTACACACACACCCCACTTTGTGCAGTTCCATCATGTTTGTGATTGATTAATTGTATACTATTTAATGTCCCTCTCCAGAATATTTCACTGGTATGGAGACGTCACCATTGCCGGTGAAGGGCTGCAAATTTAGGCCTATGCTCGGCACTTACGGCCTTTGAGCAGGGAGGGATCTTTATCATGCCACACCTGCTGTGACACAGGGCCTCGATTTATACGGTCTCATCCGAAGGACCGCCCCATTTAGTGTGATTAATCTTGTTTTAATATTTAGAACTTTGGGTTTATTTTACACACACACCCCACTTTGTGCAGTTCCATCATGTTTGTGATTGATTAATTGTATACTATTTAACGTCCCTCTCCAGAATATTTCACTGGTATGGAGACGTCACCATTGCCGGTGAAGGGCTGCAAATTTAGGCCTATGCTCGGCACTTACGGCCTTTGAGCAGGGAGGGATCTTTATCATGCCACACCTGCTGTGACACAGGGCCTCGATTTATACGGTCTCATCCGAAGGACCGCCCCATTTAGTGAGTTTAATCTTGTTTTAATATTTAGAACTTTGTTTCAAAGCTTATGGGCTCAAAATAGGAACATTTTTATCAATTCAGAATTGACCCACATGTTTGCCTAAAGGACAAAGTGCACACTGTATCTAATAATTAAATACATGTAAGTATAAAGGATGATACATTGGACAACTGATATCTCTTTATCTATTAAGCTGATAAGATAAACAGGTTTAATCCTTCAAATGAGAAGTGCACCACAGTTTGACGGGGTAAGATTTATTTACATAGTATTTTTTTTTCTTTCTTTTTTTCCTTTAACAAATAAACTTAGAATACAAGTCAAATCAATTTTTTTTTTCTTTTAAATAACTAGATTTGAAAGCAGGATAGATTAAATGGACCCCAAACTTTGTGCCCAGGACATCCTTAGATGTGACCTCTGTGAAGATAGAGTTGTACAAATGTACTGTAACTTATGTCCTATGAATCTCTGTATGGCATGTGTTGGAAGGCATGTCTTTGATGTCTCTAAAAAGCATGATATGGTTCCTTTTGATTTAAGAAAATCGAAACTTGTGTACCCTCAGTGTATAACCCATTCTGAAGAGAACTGTGAAATGCATTGTGAAGATTGCAATACTCCAGTGTGTCCTAAATGTGTTATTTCTGAGAAACATAAGCGACACCGTTTCAAAAGTCTACAGGACTTAGTTAACTCCAAGAAAGAAAACATTGAAAAGGAAAGAAAAAGACTGAAAGAAACGGTTTACTCAACATTTGAAGAAATTGTTACCGACATAGAAACCAAGCTGGCTGAAATAGACGGAAAATACGAGAAACTTATATCAGAGGTCACAAACCATGGTGAAGAATGGCACAGAGAAATGGACAAAGTTATAGTAATAAACAAGGAAGAAATCAACGAGAAGAGAAACCAACACAGAGATGCCCTAAATAAACATCTCCAAGATATAAAGAAACTTGTGGCTGATGTTAAACAGTCTATATCAGAAACTGAAGACATTTTACAATCCAAAGAAGTCACCAGATCACTATCTTATGAGATAAAATCAGAAAAATTCACCAAACTACCATCCAAACTGATCGTTAAATTTCCTGTGTTTACTGGAAATAATAATCAACTGAAATATTCTCAACTGTTTTGTTCAATAACACCATTATCCATTACAAAAGAAGAACACGGCTACAGAATGAAGACACCAGAAGCTGTATCCTGTCCTCCAGTCAAACCACTGCTTGATGAATCAGAGCTCATCTCCACAATAGACACTGGGTTTAAAGGTCTATACAGTGTTACCTGTCTCAGTGATGAAGAAATCTGGACACATGAAGGAAACAAAATCATGAAACTCCACAACCTCCAGGGTAAACTACTGAAGTCAATCCAAACCAAGTCTGGAAAGATGCCACGTGACATAGCAGTGACAAGGAGTGGAGATCTAGTTTATACTAGCCCTGATACAAGAACTGTAAACATAGTGAAGAATGACCAGATACAGGAAGTGATCAGACTACAGGGGTGAAGACCTTACTATGTCTGTAGTACCTCCTCTTGTGACCTCCTGGTTACCATGGATAGTGATGATGGGGAACAATCAAAAGTTGTCCGTTACTCTGGCTCCACAGAGAAACAATCCATCCAGTTTGATGATAAAGGTAAACCTCTGTATTCATTAACTACCTATGCTAAATACGTCAGTGAGAACAGGAACCTGGATATCTGTGTGGCTGACAATGGAGCCCGTGCTGTAGTGGTGGTTAATAAGGCAGGAAAACTCCGATTTAGATACACTGGTCAACTCTCTACTACCAAGAGATATTTATTTAATCCATACGGCATCACAACAGACAGCCAGAGTCAGATCTTGACATCAGACTTCATTAAAAACTTTATCCACATCCTAGATCAGGACGGACAGTTCCTCTGTTACATTGATAACTGTGGTCTACAGCATCCATATGGTTTATGTGTAGACAACAGAGACAACCACTTTGTGGCTGAGTGTTCCAAGGGTAAAGTGAAGAAAATCAAATACATGTAAAGAGAGTGTTTAATACAACTTACAAGAAATGTTCAAGAAAGATTTTTTTCCTCAGAGGAAAATAACAAGCAGCAATTATATGTTGTTTAACATCCCTCTCAAGAATTCCGTCTTCTATAAAAAGGAAGAGTTAAATGTCGAATAAATTGTGTATTCTAAAAGGATATAATTTCAGTCTAGTTAATATCTGTTATTAGCAGTGTATAAATAGAGGACAAAAACCTGTCTGGCCTTGTGTACGTAATACAAATTTTGTATATGTATCATGTGTATATAGCAGTTATCTAATATACTATTCTATTTTTCTTTCCTCTATATTTCATATATCATAAATCACATAAATTCAAGTGTTTGTTTCAATTTAAGATTTTATCCCAAAGGAGTGACTGTATAAGATAATCATAATATCTATCATATCCCTGTATTCAAGCCATGAATAATTAAGATTATTTTGATGACTTTGTTGAAGGTAAATAATGTTGTTTTTGTTTCTCACTGAAAAGTAAAACAAATATTTTCTACTATAGATCATCATAGTTATGATATGTATTTAATCTAACCTTTGAGTGCGTTGAGCCTGAACCTGCTTTGGCAAACTCAAATAGAGTCTGAAGATTGTTGACTGCAGGGGGCATATGTTTCTCCTTCACCGGGGAACCCCAGATATTCCTACTGGAGGGAGATACCTACAGAAACAGCATACAACAGAAAATCATACATTATTTCTTTAAAAAAAAAAGAAAAGAAAAGAAGAAGAAGAAGCAACTGTAGTACATTATCCTACATTACAAAGATCAACTTAAAGATTGTTATCTATTATAACACCAAAATTTGAACTCAATAGATATTTTGGCAATTTACATGTACATTTCTAGATTCATTTTCCGGTCTGTTTAATAGGTTTTTTAGTTACTTCAGTATTTGCAGATCATGAAAACTACTCATTGACAATCAAAAATTATATGGGAATAGTCTAAGCTATCCCAGACTTACAAAGGTGAGCTATAAATGCACATTTAATTATTTGAGCATGTATCATGTGGAAAGGGATGCTCTGGAGTAAATATTGACCAAGTGTTCTGCGTCCAGGAGAGCGGGGGGTGGAGCTGGTCCAAACAAATTGTCCAGATTCTGACATTTCTGAAATATATAAATTTTTCTTGTAATATATTCATAAATCACAAATGTCATCTCAATGTGATTTTTTGTACATAAGTATTTCATTTTTTTATAT